AAAGACTAAAAATCCCAGCATGACCCACAGGCCCTTACATAACTGGTATCTTTCCATGTCTATAAAATGCTGGGGCTGATAACATAATCAACTGAATTTTATATTCAGACTGATTGCACTACATTTTCCAAGTACTGGGTTTATAGAAAATACTCTAGTTTTCTGAGAAGGTAGATTTCAGAATGTACTTATAAGGTTCCTATATGATATCACAGAAAAGACAGTCATCTAAGTATCTCCTGGCAGTTTCTAATCTACAAACAATATTTACCTTGCCAACTGAACGAGAAGGTCAACAAGTGAACAAATCCCTTCTCCCATTAGAGTATTCAACTTCAGCTCCTCATAGACAAGGTGAAGAACAAAAAAAATTGCAGGTATATGAGTAAAGAGAAGCGTAGAGGAATCCAGACTGAGGTTCTGTGAAATACCCTCATCCTTCATCCGTGAAACTTCCGAAGGACTCAAACATAAAGATCTGTTCAAAAGATGAGACTCAACATTCTGGTGGTAGTCTGAATTTAGTAAATATTCCCAGTCCTAAGAAGAATAAAAAGGGTATTAATTTTTAAAATAATGCCTCCTTGGAATGTCATCATTAAAAAAAAGAAAACCAAATTCACTCAAAACAATTCAAGTTCCATTTCCACATTTAGTCAATCTAAGAAATGAAAAAAATCACATTGCTAAAATAGAAGGAACAACTACAAAATAGCAAGCAATTTCCAGATGCCAGTGACAAATATTAAAACAAGCCACATTTAAAAACCATTTGAAAAAAATCTAGTCATGCCCTTTTAGGGAAGAGACTTTGAGAAAAGAATTCTACGTAAGTAGGGATTGAGAGAGAAAATTTAAGATTATCTCAGGCTATGTTTTACGAAGCCGAAAGTAAAGAATAAAAAGTGGGAAGTATAGATGGGCAGGTTTAGTGGCCTCTACCCTGATTTGTGTTTTGGTAAGAGAGAAGATCTACCTGTATTCAGTCGGTATATTTATCTTTCCATGTCTATAAGATGCTGGGGCTGGTAACATAATCAACTGAATTTTATATTCAGACTGATTGTACTACATTTTCCAAGTACTGGGTCTATTTTACTTTCTACTCATGATTTATTATATTGTATTCAGAGAATGTGGTTTATGCTATTTCCAGATCTTGGAATGTACTGATGTTTTTATAAGGCTTAATATAGTATGTTATTGTAACTTCATTCTTAGACCAGATACAGAAGGAACTAACCGTAAAAGAAAAAACTGATAAATTGCATAATTAAAATAAAAAATTCTGTTCATCATAAGATAATGTTAAGCCACACACTAAGAAAAAATATTCTCAACACATGTATATGGTAAAGAACTCATGTCCAGAATATATGATGAACTTCTATAGCTCCAAAATATATTTTTGAAAATCCAATTTAAAAATAGGTAAAAGATTTGAACAGAAACTTCACAAAAAGATACATAAGTAGCTAACGAGCACATGAAAGAGTGTTTAACATCATTAGCCATCAAGGAAAGGCAAATTAAAACCATTAGGAGAAACTACTTCACACACATTCAAATGGTTAAAATGAAAAAGACTGACGACAGTGAACACTGGCAAAGATGTAGAACATGAGGAACTCTCATACGTTACTGGTCAGAGTGTAATACGGTACAACCAGTTTGGGAGCCAGCAATGACCCAACAATGTCACTACTAAGTATTTATCCAAAAGAAATGAAACTGTATGTCCACAAAGACTTGTTACTGCATGTTGGTAGCAGCTTTATTCATAAGACTCAAGAAATGGAAGTAAGCCTAGATCTCCACCAGCAGAAGAATGGAAACTATGGTATATTCACACTACTCAGCAATGAAAGGCACAAAATACTGATATCTGTAATAACATGGATGAATCTCAAAAACATCATGTTGAATAAAAGAAATCTTAAACCAATGATTACATACTATATTATTTCATTTATATCAAATTCTAGACACACAACTAACCTATGGGATGGTGAAAGAATTCAGATCACTATTGCTTGAAGAAGGGGGAAATACTGATTAAATACAGCACCAGGGAACTTTATGGAGCTATGGAAATGTTCTGTGTATCGATAGGAGTGTGGGTTACATGAGTATGAATATGTCAAAATTGGTCCCACTGTAAACTAAAATGTGAGAATTTCACTTATGTAAATTATACCTCAATTAAAAAAATGTTTGGACCACTTAAGAATATACCCATGGAATCTAATACATTTGAGAACCTGAATTAGAGAAACAC